ATTCCTGGCCTCTGTCCCTAGGTCTCGAGGCCTCATCTGGGAGTGACCTGCTCACAGGGCCGCTTGACTTGCAGCAGCCGGAGCCTCAGGATACACTTTGTCCTTGGAGAGGAAATGTCCACAGAGCATCATGGTCTGGATGCAGGACCAGTCCAGGGGAGTCCTAGCACTTGGTACCCCCATGAGCTGCACACACACAACCCTGAGCTGCCTGGGACGGGTCACTCCTCAGGACTGCACGCCCAGCCGGAGCCAGCCCTGCCAGCCCCGGGGCCTGCCTGCTCCCTTGCTCTCCATCCATCTCACCTCAGGGACTGACCCTTGTCCCCAAGGGAATTGCTGAGGGTCAGACTGGTCACCCCAGTCACGCATCTCCAGGTTCCTCCTCTCTCCAGACGCACGGTGTGTGTGGGTGGCTGTGCCCCCACTTCCTCTTCTGGAGGTGGCTGCACACCCTCACCCTCTCGCTCCCACCTGCCCAGCTGCCAGGTCAGGGCCAGCACCCACATGGCCAAGCCTACTTCCTTCCTGTGGGTGAGGCCCCACCTCCTCCTGGAAGCCTGTCCTGGTCCCGCTCCACTCCTCAGTCACTTCCACTGTTCTTAACCACAGTCCAAATTCTGAGCGCTGATTTCATAGGCTAAATTCTGTATCCCCCGTCCATCCATCCATCCATTCTCTCTCTCTCCTTCCTATCTTCTTATCTTTCTGTTTGTTTGAGCTAGGGTCTCTCTGTGTTGCCAAAATGGATTCCACTGATCCTCCTGCTTCAGCTTCCCAAGTGCTGGGACTAAAGGAGTGTCCCATCATGCCTGGCTCTAAAAACTTTGAGCATGGAAAATGTCGAACAAATACCAGACAATTCAATAGCTGATTTTCACCATTATTGACTCTGGCCAGTCTTACTCCACTCATTCCCCATCTGCATCCCTTTCCCCAGATCACAGTTCTGGAGTCCGAGAAGCCGGGTCATTTGTCTGTAAATATTGCCATACATATCTCTAAGAGATAAGAGCCATTTTAGAAACCATGTCTACAATAACTGCATGACAAGAACAACCTCACAGGCTTGTGCCCCGCCGAGCTGTCCACCTGGTCTGCTGTCCAGCCTGCCTGCCACCTCTCCTGCCTTCGCTGCACTCTCAGTGGCCCCATGGCGTGGGTCTTGCTGGCACCCTAATGGTATGAGCCATCCCAGGATTCTGTCCCCAACATGCTGGGAGCTGGGGCTGCATCAGGGGCTCCACTGGCTTCAGATTCAATCTTCTGAGCTGAGACTTGTGGGGGCTGTGGTCATCCCTGCTGTGTCCTCCAGGCCTCAGCCACACCCACTGCCATCAGGGTTGCCCGAGGATGGCACCCCAGTGCCTCGCCCTCCTGCCTTCTTCACTTGCTGAGCGGATGGGCACCATTCACACACCAAAGGCAGGAGCAAGCTCAGCTTCCCGTCTCCGGAGGGGCCTAGGCTTTTCAGGCGGGAGGAAGGCCGGCCCCTCTCCCCTGCCAGGTGCACTGAACCTCCTGCGGTCCATGTGAGGAAGCATGGCCAGCCACACCGCATGCCCCACGTCCTGCCCCATGAGGGGTCAGGACCACCTCTGGCTCCTCGGGGTCCTCTCTGTCCCTGTAGGAGCCTGCTCCCTGTGCAACTCTCTAACTTGAAAATATTCCAAAGTGCAGAAAAGTCGCACGGACAGTACAAAGGCCCCTCTCCCTTTTGGCCAGACCTTGCTTCTGCCCCTCTGTGTGCCCACCTGTCAGCCCCATGTTTGTCACCCGCTCTCCCTGGAGTCAGCCACATTTTTCACTGACCCGTCTGACAGTCAGGTGCAGACTTCCTGCTCCTCTGCTGCTTGCTCGTGTTTCCTGACACAGAGGATGCCACCCACGGAGGGGTCGTTGGGCATGGCCCAGGCACCGGACAGAGATACCAAGAAAATGGCCTGGGTCTGACTTATTAGAACCAGTTTCCTTGCTTGTGGAAACAGGTCTCAGCTGCCTGTCTCTCCCGGAACCTGGCCGGTCTTAGGGACCTCCGCGAGGTCCATCTGACCCCAGCCCCAGGCACACCTTCCCTCATCTGGCAAAGTCAGCTCCAGTCCTATCAAGGAGCAGTTCTGCTAGCACTAAGTGGGAAAGAGGATTCCCGAGGCGCAGACCAAGGTGGCAGGGCCCGGAACAGTCCTCGGCTGCATGTGTCTCTGTGTATTCGTGTGCTATTCTGTTTTTGTCTGGATGTGCTTATGTGTGCTCTGAGAAGCTCCTTCATGTGTATGGACACCTGTGTGTGAGCACGCGATATCCCGCAGCCTCACAACATTGGGTTGGAGGTGGTCAGGGGCTCCTGGGTCCCAGGTAAACAAGAGGCAGACAGCGTGTGTGGCTGGAGTCCATGCTGCACCCGGTGTGGCCCTGCAGCTCAGAGCTGTGGCCATGGTGTGTCTGCCCTGGGGACTGGCAGGGATATTAGTGGGTCCTGGGTTGGGGCTGGGGGGCCACTGGGGTGCAACAAAGCTTTGCCTTGGTCAGATCTGAGTCAGACATGCAAATCCCCAGCCTCTGCCACCGTCGGGCCCTGAGCTTGCCACGCATAGGGAACACAGGACTCAGCTGAGCCAGTCTGGGCCACCTGAGGTCAGAGCAGGGGGCTGGCCCAGGCAGAAACAGAACCACATCGGATTCCAGGCTGCTCTACACGGCAGAGCCACGTGACAGGCCTAGGGGAGCCCAGGGCACCGACCACCCCCAAGCTCCTGGATCCTGCTTTGGGGGAAGCCTGGACACCTGGTTCTGGCTGCTGCCCTGCCGCCCCACCCCACACACCCCACGCCCAGTCCACACACTGAAATCCCTGGCTCTCTTCCACATTGACAATTTTAGGTTGCTCAGAAACTTTACCACCAACTTCCAGCTCCTTTCTAAACACAACTTTTGTTTCCAAGCACCAGGATAGATTCTCCCTCCCCGGGGACACTCGGGCTAGGAGAAGCTCCCTGTTTTGGAAGAAGGGATCATTTTGTTGGCCAGCGGCTCAACACTTCCAAACGTGGAGTGTGGCCTGCTCAGGCCAGATGTGGGAAAGCAGTGGACATCTGCCCAGATCTGCCACAGGCAGACCAGAAGCTCACACGGGCACCACACCCGGCCCCCACCAGCAGCTCCTAAAATGGCAGATGGCAGTCCAAGAGGGAGGAGAGGGCCTAGGGCTCTCCTGAGGGATGTTCTGCCCAAGCACACAGAGTAGCTTGTGTCAGGGAAGCCTGGTCAGGGCTGCTGGCATCCTGTAATCAGTCACTCCAACAATTGAAAGAAAAATGGAAGCTACGTTTTACAAGGGCACAAAGAGGGCCAGCAAAGGGTTGGTATATCTTGGGCCGCACTGCATCTGCTACAGAAAGGGAGCTTGTCCCAGGGTGGGTGTTCAACAGACACTCTTGGGGGTTGAATGGCTGAGACCTGACCAAATCGGCCTTGAGGCTGCTGGGCAGAGACCAGACACAGGGCGCTCTGGGAGGTGAAGGGATGTCACCTAGAGGTCCAGCGTCAGGAGTCAGGGGAGAGGGACGCCGTCAGGGCTGAGACTGGGCTGTCCTCCCCTGCCCCCCAACTCTGTTGCTGTGGATGTTGGAAAAGCCACACTGTGCCCTGTCTGAGAGGAGCTGGCTCCTTAGGGGCTGTGGCCCATCAACCTCTAGGTCCATGTGAGGCAGGAGGAGTGGCTCCTCCCCACCCCAAACTTGGGCCAGAGAGTCCCTTCCCAGGCAAAGATGATCAAAGACAGGAGCTTGGGCAAAGAAAAATGAGACCTCAAAGGGAGCAGGGAAAGTAATTTCTCACTCTGTTTACCACACATGGAGCCCTGTTTGCTTCTGCCTGCGAGCGGGGAGGGACTCTCACTGGAGAAGAGCAGCTCTGGCTCATGCCCCTGCTACGAGCCTGCTCAGGGGACGCCTGCTCAGGGGACACCTGCAGCCCAGGTTCCATGTGCAGGCTGGCAGGCACTCGGTGTATTTCTGCCCACCTCAGAGGACCCAGGGATTGGCAGGCAGATGACAGCCCCTCCCCAGCATGGTCACCTCCCCATCACAGCATCCCGTCAGGCTGAGGATCCTAGGAGAATGCAGGATTCTGCTGCTGCCCCCCCCCCGCTAGTCTGGTACAGCGCAGAAGGCCCTACCCAGGCCCTTTGACGCTCTACTGCCTTTACCACCCTGGGCTGCGGGAAACCCTATAGCCTCAAGGCTGCCCAGGTCCTAGGGCCAAGACACTCTTCAGTATGCCATTTCCGCCCCGCCTTCCCATGGACACCCTCCTCCAACCTTGGGTCCCTAGCCTTAGTGGCTCCCTCCAGTGTGACCCCATCATGCCAGGTGCCTTGGCCGAGTGACTCCCACCAGGGCTCCCAGGACACCACTCAGATGCAGCCCAAGCTCGCCACACCCTCCTCACGCAGACACCTCAGGCTTCCCTGAGAAGCTCTGCTACCAGCAGCAGTGACGAGGCTCTGTGAGGGTCCCGTGCCCAGGAACCTGCAAACCTCCCCACCGTCTCTCTTGAGCATCTCACCTTCTTAGGCCAGTGTCTGATCACCTTGCTTCACAGGTGAGAAAACTGGCTAAACCAGGAACCAAGATGGCAGCTGATCCCAGGTTTGGGGTGGGGCAGACAGCCAGGGGCTCTGGAAAGCCACATCGGGGGCTCTGCTGCAGAGGACAGGAGAGTAGCCTCTGGGGGCACAAAGCCCTCTGAGAAGCTCGTGGAGAGACTGCTCCCTTGGAGAGCGCTCAGGCTCGCACTGGGCCCCAGGGAGCTGGCTGCTCACAGCTCTGGTGCCCTGTAGTAGCAGCATGGGGACCGACCTGGAGTGAGTGCCCTTCCACCACCACAAGTGCCCTCCCAGTGACCTCTCTCCTCCCCTGGGCACCGTGGGGCACCCCCTGGGGGGTGAGCGGGAGGGAAGAGCCCCATCCTGCCGCCCTTCACCCTGGAAGAGCCCTCACCTGGATGACGACTTTGACGGTGGCTGTGTCCACGGTGGGCGTGCACACCAGGCCCCCAGGGTGCTGGCCGTCTGCGCTTCGGTTCTGCTGGCCCATGGTGAAGAGCATGGGCACTGCCAGCAGCCCCGAGGCCAGCCAGATGGCACTGATGAACCTCTTGGTGCGGCTGCGGGACATGAGGGTCTTGGCTTTGAAGGGGTGACAGATGGCCAGGTAGCGCTCCACACTCAAGCTGGCCACGTTGAGGGCGGTGGCGTAGGTGCAGGCATCGCGCAGGAAGTAGTAGCCGCGGCAGACGGCGTCCCCAAAGGCCCAGGGGTGGTGCACCCAGATGAAGTTGTACAGCTCCACCGGCATGGCGAGCAGCAGGATGAGCAGGTCGGAGAGCGCCAGGCTGCCCAGGTGGTAGTGCACGGTGCTCTGCAGGCCTTGCAGCGACTTCTTGCGGGCCAGTGTGAAAGCAGTCACCGCGTTGCCCACCGTGCCCACCACGAAGAGCGCCAGGTACACCGTGGTCACCAGCACCTTGGAGTAGACGTCGGTGTGCACGTCCAGCTCGCTGCTGGGCGCGTCCAGGACGGGCTCCGACGCGTTGGCCGAGCCGTTACCGAAGCCCGGGGCCAGGAGCGCCGCCTCCAGCCCGGACTGCGCGGGCGGCAAGGGGTGCACGCTCCGTGAGCCGGGGGCGCCGGGCGTGGAGCTGTTCAGGCTCATGGTGGGCGCTGGCCCGGCTCCGTCCGCGTCTCCGGTGCTAGAAGTCGGGGCGAGGGTGGGGTCGCCTCAGGCGGTGGCGGCGAGGAGGAGCCGAGGGGAGGGCGCCGAGGCGAGGCCGCGCCGTCCAGCGTCCAGCGGGAGCGCCGACCCGGGCCGCCCGCCCGCCACGCTCAGGCTCGGTTCCGGCTCTGGCTCCGGCTCCAGACTCCGCAGCCCCGCGCCGCCCGAGCTCAGCGCCGCCGCGATCTCCAGACCTTGCGGTTCCCGGCTCCGGGCGCACGCACGGCTCTCGCGCCTCCCGGCCCGGCGGCTGCGCGGCGCGCACGGCAGTGGAGGCGGCGGCGCCCCGGCGCGGTCCTCGCCGCTCCCAGGACCTTCGCACGGCCCAGCCGCTCCCGCCCCCCAGCTCGTGAGGGACTGAGGCCGCGATGGGAGGGCGGGAGGCTCCTGGGACTCCCACAGCTGGCTGCCCCCACCCCCTGGGTGCCCGCGGAGCGCCGGGAGCTGAGCGCCCAGGCAGACGCTCGCTCGCTCGCGAGCCGGGCGAGTCTAGGAGGGGCCGAGGAGGGGAAGCAGAGCGCGGGCAGACAAAGGAACCCCTTCCTCCTCCTCTTCCCCTCCCCCTCCTTGCCGCTGTGCTGGCACCCAGGGTGGTGTTGTGCTGCCCAGGTATGAATGGACACCCCCTGGGTCTGGTCATCAGCAGTCTCAGAACCGGGGCGTGGGAGGGAATGGCCAGGCCCGTGTGTGATGGGTGGGAGGCCCTGTCCCAGTGGAAAGTGCTGCACCCTTGCCTCGCTCAGCTCCTCTGGGCTTCTCACAGGTCCCCGCCCTGGCCCAGGCCATTACAGGATGAGGTCTTTGAGCCTCCCCATGTCCTCTGACCCGCAGGGGTCCAGGCAAGAGCTGTGTCCAGCTGTGGCCTGCCCAGCGTCCCACCGCTGTCTCCCCATGGAGCCTTCCCCACCTCTGTTCCTGCTTCAGAGTGGATTCAGAGGTGTCCGGAGTCTGGAGGACCAGCTCAGGGGTCACAGCCCCAGAGGCAGGTCCCTGTCCCTGCATGGAAACCACTGGCTGGGCTGCTGTCCTGGGAACAGGAAACCTGAGCAGGGGGGAGGGGAGGGACCCCAAAGGTGAAGCCAGGAAACCCACCCAGACCATCAGCAGGGACAGGTTCAGGCCAATGAGCTTGTGGCTGACTGGGCCACATTTATTCTACTCTCACCTGTTCTGGGCTTGCCTGTCCAACCGACACAAGCCATTCTCATCAGGGAGTCTTAGCACACAAAAGCAAGCACTTAACCCTAAGCCTTCAAGGGAAACACAAGCAGTCCCTTAGCTGGAAGCCTGTACAGTGAGCCCAGGGGCCAACAGGGAAAGTTTGCATCGTGGCCCACAGTATTTGGGCAAGAGTCGTCATCTGTCTTCTGTGGAACAGGAGGTGAATCAAGCTCCCTCCTGGAGCAGGGCGGGGCTGACAGGCCTCCCTGGGAGGGAAGGTTGTTGCATGGATTGTGCAGACTGCAGGGAACGAGGTGACATGCCCAGTTCAAGGAAAGTTGGCTGGCTGGGAAACTCACCAGATTAGACTGGGTTTGTTCTCAGGAAACCACTGCTCACCGGCTAAGTAAGCAGGTCTGGGGCTGGGCCTGTGCATGCACACCACATCCATCATTCCCTGCCCTTGTAGTCCCTGACCACCGACTGACTGCCACCTGGTCACTTCTGTCAAGTGCCCCCTGGAGGAAGGCTCAGCCAAGGCCCGCCCTTTGCTAGCCAGGGCTGCAGCTGCACTGGAGAGGCCTCAGCAGAAATGAGCTCTCCTGGCTGCTTGATCTCACTGTTTGGTTTTCAAACCTCCGACCTTTCGACTAAGCTGGCCTTCTTTTCAAAGATTTCTTTTTGAGGTAGCCTAGGAGCTTAAAAAATCATAAATGGCAACTTAGCACAAATATTAAGACAAGGCATTTGCTTAAAACCACCTAGAAAATGTCACCTGATGGGCTTTGCTCTACTCAGAGTGGGTGATGGGCCCTAGCTGGGGGCTCCCTGGTGACTGCTCCTCCAGGCTGTTCTGGATCTTTCTTCCTGCCTTTACTGAGCCAGAGAGGCTCAGCAGCCGGAACCTTTTAATTCCAAGTTGTTTCCACTTTCCTTCCTTATTTCTCCAGACAGGAGCCCTCCCTAAACAGTCACCTCATCTATCCATCCTTCCTTCCTCTCTTTCTCTCTCTTTCTTCTGTAGCACTGGGGATCAAATCCAAGGTCTTACACGTGCTAGGTAAGTGCTCCACCAGTGAGCTGCTCTACCAGTGAGCCGCATCTCAGTCTCCAAAGAGCTGATTCTTGGGCCGGGGATTTAGCTCAGTGGTTTTGCTGCCTGCTACACAAGCACAAGGACCTAAGTTTGATCCCCGGTACCAAAAAAAACTCCAAACAAACAAAAAAAAACAAAGAGCTGATTCTCAAGGGCCAAATGCAGGTTCAGCTGTGCCTGCTGGTGACCCAGTCACAATTCAGTATTGCTGCTGGCCTGACCCCAACACTGACACACTGAAGCCTGGGCACAGCCTTGGGAGAGCAGAACTCCTGAGGGTGAACATTTCACTGTGAGCTGCTCTAGGCCTTCTGGAGAGCTTTGGACCCTGACACTTCACATGCTAAGGTTGGCCTACCCCTGTGCTCCGTGAGGGCCGAGATCTATGGATGGGGTCTGTGTTTCTTGGATGCATCAGCCTGTGGGGGTGGGTGGACTTGCTGCAGTTCCCTGTGTGATGTGGGCAAGGTGAGTCCTCTCCTATTGTGCAGTGACCATCGGCGCAGGTTGAAAGTCTCGTCCCAAAAGCCACCAAATGATCAGTCTCTGTGGATGCTCCCGAGAGCAGGGTCCTCGTTTGCTTTGTTTGCTGTCTTTCCCACGTCCTCCCAGTGCTTGCCAGTGTCCAGAAGCTTCTCACCAAGCTGATAGAGGATAAGATGGCACAGGCGGAGCCCCTGTCAACAGGCATGGGTGCCACCTCCTCACTGTGCCCAAGCCAGCTCCCACATGCAAGTGAGCCAGCATCTCTTCAGTCCCTGCACCGGCCAAGGAGACAGGCTTTTTACTACACTTACAAAACGAAGTTCACAATCATGGGTCGTCAGTTATCTACTCCTACGTAACAAAACACGCAACCACTTAGTGGCTTAAAGCAACACATTATTATCATCTTTTCCCTATAAGGCCACAAGAAGGTGGGGAATGTTAGTGTAAATGAGACACTGAGAATATGCGATATGCTAATCTGTAGAGTAGAGCTGTAGATTTTCTCTCCCCGGCATGGAAATTGCATACGTTCCAGGACCTGCTGCGTTCCAAGGAGGAGTCTTAAAAATAGAGCAGCACATGTGCATGTGTGAGAGGAAGGGTCCCCCCCCCCCCACCGGCTGTGCTCAAAGCGTCTCCGGGCCTGTGGCAGCACCCAAAGCTCGAGCTCCGGGCCCAGGGAGCCTCGGTAGCAGCACGCTTGTCCCTCATAGTCCCAACACCCCCCTCACACACATGCACGCACACACACACGTCCTTTGCTGGCTCTCTGGAAATGTGAGCTGTGTCCTAGTAGAAACGCAGGGGAGGAGTGGGGTGGGCTGTTATGAGTGCACTCTAAGACCACAAGGGACAAACTACCACAGGGTGCAGCACGCAAAGGACCCCGGGAGCTGCAGGGCTGGGGTAGGAGGGGCTTTGAATTCTAGCTCCACCTTGCCTGACTGAGGGCTCTAGGCACGGCAAGTAAGCCAGCAGAGCCTCAGTGTCCTTGTCTTCAGAGTGCAGATGGTGTGGTCCCTGGCCGCTGGCTGCTGGGAGTGTCATCCGAGGTGTACCTGGTTGTGGTTCAGCAACACCAATCTTCACTGCACAGAATCATCAGTGTCACGCACAGGCCAGCCAGAGAGGCTGGGCAGGGCAGAGGGTGGCCCAGAGCAGGGCTCACATGCTCGGCTTCCTCCTTCCGGGACTTGTTCCCGGGATGCTGTTGCAGCTGAAACACGCACTTGGCTATGGGTGGGAAGTGATCAGCCACCAGGTGTATGTGGGGATCCCATCAGCCCCACAGATACACATTTGAGCACTCCTGCCCTGGGTGGGCACCCACAGGTCCTCCTGGAAGCGAGGCAGTCACAGTGGGATGACCTCCTCACGCTGGTTTCCTTGGGACTCTCTTTGGTGGATTTTTTTTTTTTTTGAACACAGGGTCTTGTTATGCAGCTCAGGCTGGCCTTGAGCTCATGGCAATGCCCCTACCTCAGTCTCCCAAGCTGGGATTACAGGTGTGTGCCACCATGCCCAGCTACTTTCTTTGGTTTTAAAATGGAAAACTGAGATCTGGAAACCTAGGCCTTCTCAGTTCCTCTGAACTCAGGGACATTGGTCATGGAAACTTGGGGAGCTGTCTGGGTCCTGAGTGCAGGCATAGGTGCTCCTGCCTTGCTCTCTGGCTCCCCTTCTGTCACCTACATCTCCCCTGGGCATCCCCCATCTCCAGTTAGGACCTTCCTCACCTCTCTCAAATCCCAGTGTTTCTAGCTAGAGGTCCCCCAAGCCTAGCGTGCTGATAGGTGGGCTTTGGGGAGGTGCTGGATCATGGGGTGTGATTCTCATTGGTGTGGATTAGTCCACTGCTGAGCCCATAGCTAAATGTGATGTTGGGAGGTGGAAGCTGGTCAGAGATGGTTCGCTGGGGGTGTGGCCTGGACAGGTCTATCGCTCTCCTTCCTCCCTCGGGCTCTCTCTGCCTCCCACCACCATGCCATGGACTGTTCTCTGCCGTGACGCCCCACCTTGGAGCCAGCCCCTGTGGACTGGAACCTCTATGAACTGTGAGCTGAAATAAACTTTTCCTCCCTGGGGTTGTGGATGTCGGGTATTGTGTCCCAGCAACTAGGAAAGTAACTAAGAGACCTAGTCAGCAGGGTCTCTTTACTTCCCATGGCTAAAATGCCCAGAACCTTCTAGTCCAGACTCTAAGGCCACTTGCAACACTGACTCTACTGAGACAGGCCCATTTAAATCACATGTTTTCTCCCTGCTCTGTTTCTGCCCAATTTTCTGACTCATACAGCCACCAAACATTTATCAACAAGTGCGTCTCCACCATCTGCATCAAGGCCGGAGGAGGGTGGATGCTTCGCTTAAGGGCGTTCCCCTGTGTGGGCAAGTTCCCTCATTTTCCATGTCCCCAG